AGGGTTGGGGATGTAGCTGTGACGGTTGACGGTAAATTTTTTTCGATTTCGACGGCGAAATCTCAAGGCCCTTGACTGTTGTCAACTGTTTGAAAAATATATTTCTATGAGTTGAAGGTAATGTCAAGTTTTTGTTTTTGTTTTTTTTTTATATATGAATGATGAATGACGTTTAGATGTATTCAGGTTTATATCTGTTTATACTAAAGTGAAGCCATAATGAATCAATTGCGAGTAATCGTATCCTCATGTTTGCACATAGCTTTTTTGAATCGACAAAAATTGTTAATCGCTGGAAGGAAAATATATGGCGAAAGAATGACGTCTAAAAAGAAAACGATTTTGGAGAGGGATCAACGCTTCTTCGTTGCCGCTTTTTTTCAGAAATGGATTAAAACAATGTTGATACGAAGTGCAATTTTTGTGTGAATCACCTTAAAATATGTAATAGAATCTACCGATAAACTTCTCTCTTTGCATTTGATTGTTACGTTAGTTTCTCGCGCTTTTTAAGATTGTCTTGAATTCGATTGTTACGTTAGTATCTGGCAAGTTTCAAGGCTTCTCTTTCATTCAATTGTTAAGTGAGTATCTGGCACACGGTTAGGATTGTACCACACTACGATTGTTACGTTAATATTTCGCACATTTTATGCTTCTCTTTCATTTCACTGTTACTTAAATATCTCGCTCTCTTTTAGGGTTATCTTTCAATCAATTGTTATGTTGGAATCTGGTGCATTTTATGCTTTTCTTTCAATTTATTGTTACGTTGGTATCATGTGCATTTTAAGGATTATATGACATTCTATAGTCACGTGAGTATCTTGCGCATTTTAAGGATTACCTTACATTAGACTTTTACGAGAGCATCTCGCGCATCTTTAGATTCTCTTTCATCGATTTTTATGTTAGCATACACTTTAAGGATTATCTTGTATTCGATTGTTACGATAATATCTCGCGCTCTATTTAAATAACCTCACATTCGATTGTTCTCTTTCATCGCATTTCAACGTTAGTATCTCGCGCACTTTCAGGATTCCTATTTATTGGATTGTTACGTCAGTATCTTGCGCGCATTTCTCTTACATTGGATTGTTACGATGGCATCTCGCGCAGCTCTAGGATTCTCTTCATCTGATTTTTACGTAAGATCTCGCGCACTTTCAGGATTCCTATTTATTGGATTGTTACGTCAGTATCTTGAGCGCATTTCTCTTGCATTGGATTGTTACGATGGCATCTCGTGCAGCTCTAGGATTCTCCTTCATCTGATTTTTACGTAAGATCTCGCGCACTTTTAGGATTATCTTGCATTGAATCGTTACGTTGCTATCTCGCGCATTTTTTGGATTACCTTACTTTTGATTGTTACGTGAAAATCTCGCGCACCTTTAGGATTCTCTTTC